AATCATTGATGAGAATTTTGTGGCTGAAGGACAAGTTTTAACTCAGAAAATAAAAAAAATGGTGTTAAGAGAAAATGTGATTCAATGCCTGCATTTTTTTGTTAAATAAATCCCACTGGTTTCAGGAGTGTGCCAACTTTGTGATTAGTGCAGACGAAATAAGGTTATTACCAAGTTTTTAAAATTGAAAACCTCATTGCATACCTCCAACTTTTCTAGTGAATTACATCTGACAGATTATTTTATGCTACACAGAATGGCCTGTAGACTTAGAAGACAGTAGAATACAGTGTGGTCCTGGCATGCTATAATCCATGGCATGAGTCACAAAGAGTCACACAATTTAGTGAGTGAAGAAAAATGTCCACATACATTAATAATGATCATTATATGCCAGTCACCAAGTCATCGTTTACTCCTAGTGACCATATAGGTAGATTTTCTACATGATAATGTATTCCTAACCTGTTCTTTCAAGTCTCTCAGCAGTACACTCAATAAAAAAAATTAAATCCCAAAATGAATGCTATCTGCATTCTTTTTATCATAGATTTGATCCACTACTATCTTGGTGCCAAAGATTGTACCTTATTATTTCTTAAATTGCCATTTCTTTGCTTGAATGTCCAACACATATTGTGTAAGCTTTCTTTTATATGGAGAAAAATCATTCATGAAGTTTTCTGGCACAATGTTTGGAAATGATAGAAATCTGCAATACCACATGGGTTAATTTGAATTGTACTCTGGAATGAATTATGCTTTGAATTCTTTTGAAGATAATTGAATAAGAAACTGGTTAGAACTCAAGCCCAATAAACTTGCAGATCTGATTCTGTGGAGATTTGACTTTACAGCCAGTACTTTTTTTGTGTGTGTGTATTTTCTCCCGTTCAATCACCTCCAATTCTCAGCAATTGCTTGGACAAGTCCGTGCGATGTTCTTGGCAAGGATTTTCAGAAGTGGTTTGCCTTTGCCTTTTTCCTACAGTTAAGACAAAGTTACTGGTCACCCAACTGTCTTTGTGCTTAAGAAGAAGGCTGGTAGCACAAGGTCTCCTAGTTTCTACTCGAATGCTTCAATCACTGTACCAAACTGACTCTCGCATTTGTTGTAGTTCCAGGAAAATATAACTTTTTGAGGCTTCAACAGCTTTCTACAAGGCCTCCACGTGAGTTTTGTTCGTGGCTGCCATAACTCTTGAGGGCAATATTCAGGATCTTAACTTAAGGTTGTTTCTGTGACAGATAAAAAGGAGGTCAAAAGCAATATTATGAGTCTTCTTTGGGGCAAAGAGATACTTGTGCAGTTAAAATATTCAATACTAACACCACACACAAACAAAAGAAGCAGGCTGCCACAACATCTACAAAGATCTCCCAAAAAGTAGGTGTTAGGTCAAACAAGTCTTTACAAGTCTTTACTCACCCAAATAGATGTGATTTCAAGTTACAATGCTATGTAACATATAACAAATTGTCCGCATTTTTTCAGTTTCCCAGGAAGACAGAAAGTGGAGTTTCACTTTGAGAGCATCTCATGACCAGTAGCAGACAGGACTAGGTGTTTTAATCTTTAGGCACTTTGTTATCCGAACAGCCTATGAATATTGTTTTGCTCTGCACTGAAAATGCAATAGACTAACAGACTAACAAACTTGTGATCCTTTCCAAAAACATGCCCAGAACAGCATAGATCTCCAAGAATGATCTTCATTGAAGTGGGAATAAATGAATCAATCTTGAAGGAGCAACCAGATCCTTTATTGTGTTTGTTGGGGGGGGGGGACAAAACACAGCTGGTTTTCTGGAAATTCTTCTTTGTAATTTGAGGTTTTACCTGCAAAAAGCTATTGTAACCCATTTCAGTGTGACGGTGCTCACATTCTAGCACTCCTTGCAAACTAAACTTGTGCCTCCTTCCATTGTCATTCAAGTTCAGCTTCTGCAAACCCATGACTTTTATGCATTGAAGCATGAATGTTAGTAGTTTTGCCAGATAGTGTTAGTGTCTTGGTTCTTTTTCACTGTACCAGTTTAACTCGGTAGGCTTATTGAGTACTTACAGGAAACTAATACTTGTAATAGAAAAGGGAAATATGAAACAAAATAATGAATATTATTTTTGCCAGTCTTTCCTTTCGTCAGCTCTTTCTGTTCTTCAATTGCAAGCAAGCAAAAACAGAACAATAAGGAGCAGCCTTGCCTGGTTCTCAGGAAGATCCCCTCCAGCCTGCAGAATTTCCTCATTCTCTCCTGCAGAACTGAATTCCCTTTTGCGCTTGTTTAGGCATCTCACTCAACCGTTCCAAAGGCCCTGAAAAAGCACCAAGAGAAGTCAGCAGCTTGGCAAGCTTTTGCCTCTTGGAAACTTTGTAATGCAGGAGACAGTGCCCGCCATTGTGCGGCCTTTCTGCAATGGATGGGAGTAAAATAAGCTTGAATGAGTGATTCACTTCAGGGGTACATTGATGTTTACATTTGTCTTGCAGGACTTTGCATATTTTCTTTGGAGGCCTAATTTCAGTCACCATGAAAGTAAATATATGTGTGTGTGTGTGTGTGCGTGCACGCGCGCGTGTGCACACGCGTGTGTGTGTGTGTGTTGTTAGATTGTTTTCTCCACTATATGGATCTCATTTCATCATCTATCCATTCAGACTAGCACAGCTTTCTCCCTCTAGAGGCTTCCCTTCATCCCAGCCATGGATACATCAGTTCCATCTCTCCTGCATTTGTTTGTGTGAATGTTCATGGAACCAAAATCCAGCCCATAATTGCTTTATGCGTTTTGGATAGCCCTCCTTCTCCTCTAAGAATTCTCTTAGCCTAGTAATTAAGTATGTTTTTTTTGTTTTGATCCATTGTAATGCTGTTGGGAGTTTTGACTATTTTATAAGGATGGGTTTATCTTTATTCAATCATTTTTTTAAAGATATTTTTCATTGTTAGCTGGTTGGACACTTCAGGAATAAATGGCATCAAATATAGTAAGTAAATGGATCAATATAAATGTAGCAATGAAAATGTAAATGAGCTAAAATTTAAAGAAATGTTTTAAAAATCAGCACAGAGAAGCATATCGGAAAATCCACTTTCAAAATATTTTTTTCTTGACTAATAAACTGTGCCTATCACAGTAGTATATCCTGGAGAGTTATCCACAAAATACATACATAATTTAAAATAAACAACATAATAAAAGAATGCCACAGGAATTGGAAATTGAATCTCCTAAACCTTATTTTGACACTCAATAATGCTGCAAACTGAATAGAACAGGGCCCTGGGGAGGCTGGGCCTAGCAAGCTTTGCCTGAAGTGTTTAGTACAATTGTATTCCAGACAGCATCCTTGTTGCAAAAACCTAAGAGTCCCAGATGGGAAAGTTGTTCCTTCTCACCTACATCAGGTCTTCATTATTTATCTCCATTAGAGATTAATAAAGATAGCTCCAATGTGTGTTAATGCCCTAGCTAACTCAGTGAGTCAAGTAATTTCAGAATATGGCAAGGGAAGGATACTATAAAATCTCCATTCTCTGCCCACTCCAGGGGAAGGTTACTGAAAAATCCCCATTTTCTCCCAAGCAGGTGGGACTCAGGAGGCAGAGAACAGATAGGGTGGGGCCAGCCAGAGGTGGTATTTACCGATTCTCTGAACTACTCAAAATTTCCGCTACCAGTTCTCCAGAACTGTGAATACCACCTCTGATATGGTTACAGAAGTTTATCATTCTTGGTTTTATGTTTTTGACTGCCTTCTCTCCTTTTCTTTTTTAAATAAGGCTTTACTCATAACTGGAGTTAGAGCAGAGATTGTATCTTTAAAGAACTGTTCTTCCAACATTCCTAGGTTGTGTTGAGCTAATTTGCCTAAGAGAAAAGTAAATGAATGTGGGCTGGATAGCTCTCTTCTTCCCAATGGCTTGGAGATTCCCTTTCCCAGAGATCAGAGAAAAAGAATGGCAACTGGGCGTGTTTTCAAGTCAGGGATGAGCAATTATTTAGGGATTGATAGCATTTTGGTGATTGGAAGCAAAGTTCCATTTTGCCAAGTATTTTGGCAAAGTACTTTGACAGTACTTTGACTATTTTTCCTGGCCTTAGAAAAACTATATCAAGCCAGCCATATGGCTCAAGGTATAATTTGTTTTTCTCCCCCAAAATTGTGGAAATTTGTATTGCATCTAAATATGAAATTCTGTAGAATGAAAACAAAACAAAAGGGAGGTGGGCTTTTCAAAGTTTATCTATTTAATTTAAAATATTTAAAGAGGAGGAATATGAAAGTGGAATCCATGCATTTTTAAAGTTAGTTCTTCAGCTACTACATACAGTACAAACTGATTGTAATTAATAAACATATAGTTAATAAATTATAACCAGTGGTTATAAGGTTTATTTAATAATTTCATGTGCATGTATTTATGCTAATCTTAAACTGTATGTAAAATTATAAAAATTGAGATGGAGACTATATGCATTTTCCTGTGCTTGGGCAGAAAAGCAAAATGTTGAATTAATTTGTTAAATAATGAGAATTTTTTTTATGGGGTCTTTTGTGCATATATTCTTAAAATTGTGTGTGTGAATGTGTTAGACAAAGATCTTTTTATAAAACTCTTATCTCCTGTGCTTGTGTTTGTTCAGCAAAATGGAAATGTACTTATTTCTCAAGCAGATTATAAAAGTCATTCTTTCTATTGCTATAATATCCCGAGACATAGATTTTCACTTATATTTCATAAATCAAAGAGAAATAAAGAGTCAATACAATTAAACCATACACACATCAGTTTTCAGAACAGGGAATATGCTGAAATGTTTTTGAAATGGCCCCAGAGAATGAATGGCTGAATTGATAAAACTGAGAAATTAAATGTTGTCTTTTAGAAATAAATATATTCTTGTCCAATGGAGTTTTCTTTAAAGTGTATCTATTTATGAGATTTAAAATAATTACAAAGAATAATTAGTTTATGTTTTTGGTTTCTTTCAGGGATGATGGTGGTGATCGTATTATTGCTGATTGCTATTGTGGTTGTTGCTGTGTGGCCTACAAAGTAATCAGAGATTATCTCATTTTGCAACTAAGTGTTAATAGTCATCTATAGCCAGGACAACCCCACTTTGTTGTTGGCACTGTCCATGGATATGGCTGTTCTCATTCCACTACAAGAGACAGATCTATGTTTGAGCTGCATAAAGGTTTTACAAAATTCTGTATAAAACTTTGTATACTCAAGAATATAATTGGAAAAGAAATGACTCATCTGAAAAAACTTCAAGGCACAAATTGAAATTAATTTCAAAGAAATACTTTGTCTATAAATGCTTCTAATAGTACTAAGTGGAACTTTGTCTTAATCTCTGCAGTGTCTAATTAAAATATTAGTATTTTCTTTCTAACACTAATTCCTTATTGCTGAAATAAATAGTTCTTCCTGAAACAATGTCAAAGATTCAAGAGAAACTGCCATTTTTGAAGAGTGAACATCTTTCAAATAAATAAAAACTTCACAAAATCTTTGACTTGAGTCAGAGGGCAATTACTATTGTAAAATTGTAGCTATCAGATATATATTTTGGAAAGAAAAGATGAGGTTTCTGTCCAAAAATGTAGAATTAACATATTATGTTAAATGCCTGGGCTGCTTTTCTTTACTAAGGTACATTAATAGCAGGGAAAAAATGAAATTACTCTGATACCTAGAGTTTCAAAATGTGTTTTTTTCTATATGTGTTCTGAAAGTAAATGAAAATTATTCTCTTAGCAGAATTGGCAGGAAAATGACTTTACATCTCTCTGTAACTTGCCCTGAACACTCAAAATCTAAAGTGAAGGATTAGCAGAGCATATTTGGGAGAATGATGAGGACTTCAACTGAGACAAATCCTGTTGCATCAACATCTTTCTATTTATGCAACACTGGATTAAACCCCAGTGTTAATCCATGTCCAGATATTGTTATTTTTGCTTTATATATATATATATATATTGACAGAGTGATCAGCTTCCTTTTTACTGAAAAATAAGAGGGTCACTTTTCCACTGAAGAGTTCTGGTCATTTCAGTTTAGATTTTCATTATTATTGGAGAAATTCACTTCTGAAACTGGAACAGGTCAATTTTTTCTGTGTTTATGGATTCATTTGCAGTAAAAAGGAATCAGAGCGATAGTTTTTAGGTAAATCAAGCACAGAAAAGATTGGTTTATCTCCTGATCTTCAGTTAAAATTGATTAATACTATTTCCTCAAGAGGTAGTTCTCCTTGGAGAAAAAAATATTTAAAAATGTTTCCTTGTGAATGGTGTCTCCTAAATTAAATGTTGAAAAAGAAATAATGCATTTTCTATGGTGGAATATTTTTCTAATGGCATGTTAGATTTGTTATAAAATATTTAACATCATTGGTTTTTGAAATTACATATGTAAAGCTTTTAAGATATGTTCACATCTTCACATATTTTATGTTCATTTTTATAACAATCCAGTAAATTTAGCCAAGCTGAGAGAAAAGCAGTTGAGTCTCCCTTGTTAAAATGAATTTTGAGCTCTAAAGACTTCCTGGGTATTTGCTTGCAGAATTGGGAAACACAGGGCCCAACTAATACCACCTGGCCTATTTGTCATATGGAGATAATGTGTGAGCTAAACTCTTTTCAGATCAACTAAATAGGGTTTTTAAACTTAAAATATGTATTAGGTGAATAGATAAATCCAAACAAAATTGTGCAGACATATCATTTATACATATATATTGGAGTTACCACAGAGAATTTGGATAATAGAATCTCTGCTTCTTATCTAATTAAAGGAACCAGTTGCAAGTTAATAATTGACTAGCTGTTTTCAGAGGAGGAGCTCATGTTCCCTCAAAGTTGAAAAGGAAGTTCCACTTTGTTCATTCTGCTGCAACAGAAAAAACGGCCATGGGTGGAAGTTTATAAGTGTTTATTTGACAGATGTCTGGATTTAGTCTTATCAAGTGGATTCTGCACTGTTACATGCTCCATCTGCTTCATTATATCATCCCATCTAACAAATGAAGGTAAAAGAAGGGTGGGTACATAAGAAAATCCACAACTTTTTTCCCCACATGTCATTAAATATATTCATTTATATATAACCATAATATATTAGTATGCATTGTAAAGAAACATTGTCGCAAAACTATATGCAGAGGTCATAACTAAGCAACATTTACAGTTCATAATTATTAACAGGAATAATAGGAACAGAGGATTATTATCCATGTATAATGAGGGTGGGGGGAAGAGTTAAGGCGATCAAGGGAAGGAACATAAAGTGGACCAAGTAAGAAGGAGAACAAATCTGTATTACTGGTGTCTGAATGTTTCAGTTGCTTCTCAGAATGGTTTGTGTTGCATTTCTTTTGTAACATAGAGCTTGGAATATGCTCAAGAGTCCCTCAGCATTAGAGATTATATCAGTAGTCTTTACAACCCTCTCCTGTCACTCTTAAAAAAAGATGTAAGGCACCAATTGGTTCTACTGCAGATACGTATATCTCACTTTGTGTGTGTGCTAGCAATTCTTTTGCCATTCAGAAAAACAAGATGATTTCCTTATAATTAAAATATGTGTCTTAAAAGTTGTCTTAAACATGCATTATTTTAGCAGGGGGTTTAGGAAGCTTTCCAGCTATCTAAGCCATTGTATTTGATACAGCATTCTTGCTCTATGCTAGGCCCATAAACTTCAGTTGTATTAGGGGTCTCCTTTTGCATAACTCTTGGCCTTCAGATAAAATTACCAGCTGAAAATGTAGATGGACCTGGTTATATGCTGCCTCCGGAGAACATATGATTGTGTGGCGAGAATTATGCCTCTACCAATAAATGGCCTAAAGTATTGCAATGGACTTTGTTTTACTCTTTTCTGTTTTTTTTAATTTGAAGCTGAAATGATCTGTTAAATATAAGGAGGTATAATTATGTATACAAAGCTATATTTACTGTATATAGAAGTACAAAACAAGCCCTTACTCATGTCAAGATTAGACCCTATTGAACAAACAAAAATATTTTCTTACTACTGTAGGCAGAATCAGGATTGTTATAATATTTTCTAGTGTATTATATTTTTGATTAATATATAGATTCTGCACTAGCTATTTTACATTTTGTACTAATTCTACAATCAGCCTTGATTTTTTTTCCTGTCATTTCTTCTCCATTTGCTAGTTGATGCAATATCACATTTCACAGCTTTTCAGAATATTTGTGTTACAGAAGGTAAGACTTTTTTCAGCTCTTTGAAAGAGGTTAGATACCATGAACATATATGTTTTGTAATCATTTTGAATGATTATATATAGTGGTTATCAATATTTCAAAAAAGCAAACACAAATTGCCCCCCACATTTCTGTATAGGATTACAATAATGTTTGCTGCTTTATAGTCAAGATGCTGGATTTGACAACAAAGGAGACTGTCATAAAAACATTTTATCAAGATTTGCAATGAAAACACCTTGTTAATCTGAGATGTTACTCATTTGTAAATTAAGATAGATTTACTTTCTTTTGAGGTGCTGATTACAGGTCAGGCCTGCACCCTCCCCCCAAAATCTTGAAATATACACATTCAAAGAAAATCATTGCACCACACTGCCCAACAGTTTACATGAAAATTGAGGAACAATTTCTAAAGCATTTTCATGAAATCCTGAACATTACTTAGCAAATCAGACAAAGCAATGCACAAGGCCTTCAAAATTGTTTTTTAGAATGTCATGGAAGTACATAGCCTGTGACATAACTGATGTTTCTGAGTTATTTCTTGAATATAATGACTATTAATCATCCTGAAAATCTGTGAGGTGGTTAAACTTTTTATACTGTTGGTAATTCATTCTCTCTCTCTCTCTCTCTCTCTCTCTCTCTCACACACACACACACACACACACACACTCTCTCTCTCTCTCTCTCTCTCTCCCCTCCCTCCCTGCCCCCCTCTCTCTCCAGCCTTATGCTTTGTTCACAGTTTGCCCTAGTGCTGTTATAGTTTTGTGGGCTACCTCACAATGGCAAAGAATTATTTTTTAAAAACAACAAATCAAGACTTATGTAAAGTCCTGACTTGTCTTTAGTCAGCAAAAACTGGATACCAAAAGCCAAAAAAAAAGCAAAGCCAAAAAAGTAAAAAAAATTCTGCATTTCTAGCCTAAGTCTTTTGGGGGGTGGGGGAAACTAACTAATAAATGGGGAAAGATACCTCATCACTGTTGCTAATATGCCTGCAATTTGACTCTAAATAGTGCCTTGTTTTCATATATCCCTAGACAAACTCACTCCAATGCAAAACAGCATAGAGTTTTTCCTAGGATATAATCCAGGAGAGAATTTGTTCATTAATTTAATGGACAACGGGTCAATATAGAAACACCTTTCTTAGTAGAATATGTATCAAATATAATTAAATGCCTCTTCTTCCACTTACTTTTTTCTATTCATTTCCACATTGCTGTCTGGATAATGGATCTCCTGTTAAAAGCTTGGTATCATTGGCTTTGAGTTCTCTGCTTTGGCTGCTAAAATCAACTGGGGCTCCATCTATTGCTCTGAGTTAGATCTTGAGGGATGGGTATAAAGTGCTCAGCAGCTACAAGCTTGTTGTTCTTCCTCTGAGGAACTTCAACAGAAGGTACACATTATATTGCATTTCTCATAAAGTGGTACTAGACGTGATTGATTCTTTCAGAGAATACAGCCTGGAAAAACTAGAACTATAGAGATATTTTAAATGAGAACAAACCAACATGAAACCAGTTTTAATTAGTTCAACCCCCTATTTAGAAACTCTTGTCAATTCTGGAAGGCAGTGTGCTTCTCTGAGAACAGTGTTTAGTCTTTTTTGTTACTCCATAACTATCAATATCATATTTCTGCAATGACATTTCATGGTTACGGTTACTTTTAAGTCTCGTAGAGTGATGTAGAGTTGCCAGATATATTTTCTGTGTGTCTGAAACTAATGGCATACATTAGAGATATTCTACCTGCTTTTACCCAATATTCCTTAGTTTTCTGAGGAAACACATTGTTTGTGTGTGCCTATGTCTGTATATGTATAGTATATATGAATACTTACATCATTAATTTTATAAACCTAAAGCAGGAGTTTGAGCAAAAATAATAGAGGATTTCAGCTGGCATTCCAATGAATACTACAATGATCTGGAAAGTTAGTTTTGACAAGCTCAAATATGCTGGATATTATTCCCATATGATGAACAAGCTGAGAGTAGAAAGTTGAGATGTTTTACTGAGGTTAATCCAAAAAGCTCCAGATAAACTGCACATAAGGGGCCACTATTATCATGAAGATCCCATAGCAGATAAATCAAGATATGAAATTATAAAATGTTTGAAAGCTGCTACTTCCTAAGAGAGAAAACTTTTGGAATGACTGATCTCCATGTGTATCATGACGAGTTGGTAAAAATGGGTTGCATCAAAGAGTGGGATGGAAGGACGTTATTTTCTAATGTTACCCAATGTGTAACATTTCTTGAAAGGAATAGAATTCAGAAGGGAAATCACAGCCATTTATTATGGAGAGAAGGGCCCACAATGTAAACTCCCTTCTCTGTTGCTATTATACTATTAAAATGTGAGGCTGATATTTACTTTTATTTCCATTATTTTTCAGACTAAGCCATTTTTGGACCGTGGACATTTTTGGATTAAAATTCTTTCTAGGTTCAAAATTAGAACTGATGAAATCTCTTCTGACACAGACACCAATGCTGCGAGAATGGTCTACAACAGCACTGAAGAAAGTGATTTATGACAATTTTTACAATCGTTGCAGCATCCCCATGATCAGTGGTGGGTTCCTACTGGTTTGGACTGGTCTTGCCGAACCGGTAGTGGTCTGGCGGTTGGGTTGCTGGAACCGGCAGTGACCTAGTGCTGCCACGCCCCCAAACCGATTTCCTGGTTAGTGCTGACAGCACCGCCATCTTGTTTTTCAGTTCTGTGCATGCGCAGAACAATTTTAATTGCTGTGCGCATGGGCATGCAGTGCACACACAAGTGAACCAGCAGTAGTGCCAGGTGGAACCCACCCCTGCCCATGATCATGTGTTCAAAATTTGGATATTTGGCAACTGGCTCAGATTACAGTGTCCCAGAGTCATGTGATCTCCTTTTGCGACCTTTTGACAAGCAAAGTCAGTGTGGAAACCAGATTCATTTAACAACCAGGTTACTAATTTAACAACTTTAGTTATTTACTTAACAAACATGGCGAGAAAGGTCATAAAATGGGGCAAAATTCATTAAACAAATTTATCACTTAGCAACATAAATGTTGGGCTCAATTGTGGTCGTAACTCGAGGAGTGTATTTTTCTGTTGAAATTCAGCTGATAGAAAAAAGGGAAGGTCCAGAGGTGTCTGCAAGTGTGCAAAGCAACTAAGCCAGTGTATTCTCTTCTTTCCCAAGAACAATTTCTCTTACTCCCCCTACCATTTACTTCCCTGGCATCTGCCCATTTTACACTTTTTTTGTACTGAATTTAATGCACCCTTCCTGGTTTGCTTGCAAGGGAAATGGAGATTATATGAACAGAAAGCTCACTTCTTGTGAACTTAATATGGAAGAGAAAGCCCACAGCCAACTTTTCTGTTTTCTGTTTGTGCAGAGAATTTCTGTAGAAAAATGTGGTAGAATGATTCTCTCATTCTAAATTATAGTCAGTACCAAATTTTACAACTAAGAAATTAAATCTACATATAGTAAGCTCTTTAAAACAAAATGATTAATTAGCTCAGACTCATTCATCTTTATAAGCAGTAGTAAAACTTCTTTGATTCTCTCCCCCCCCCATCCTCTTCATCCATGCATGTAAGTAAAATACAAATCTTGACAAATTCAGCCAGCTCATAAGATGATCTGCAGTTCAGAAACATTCTTGATGGAGACAGCAGCACTGTTGTAGTCTTACATGAGATATTAATGACCACAATCGAGACACACAAATGTGGAAAAATGGAATGTCTTTGCACACTTTCACAAAGCATGTTTCCATGGTTTGGGAGCTGAAATATTAACACAGTGTTATCTCAAGAGAAAAATCAGTATAGGATCTGTCCTATGTAACTTTTGCTTTATGCAATTGAGATGAATACCATTTATTTAGAAAGCAGTTACTATTTTGAGATAGCATTTGTTTCATGTTTTGATGAATTTAGGGAAAAAAAAGAAACTGGTTTTCTTTTGGTGGAGTTTTGTTCACAAATGCAGCGCTGCAAGAGGATTTTCTAAAAAGCCAGGTCTAGTAATTTGATCCTTCTTTTAACTGAGTTTGACTAGTATTCTTCTAGGTATTGCTACTCATTGGGTATCCATCACTCAACTGTTCCATAAATGCATCCTTCTTCATAATTCTCATCTTCCTTTCTTTAGAAGCAAGTTGCCTTTTTTATATGAGCAATAAGAATTTAGTGTATATTTCACACATTTGTGACTGCTCTCATTTACAATGGCAAGTACGGTACAGTCTTGTAAAATGCTGTGTAACAAATGATAGAAGAACCATCCAGCAGACTGTTATGCAGTACCCCATGATCAATTTTTAGCCAACAATCCCGTTTGTCTGTTCATCCTAGCAGCAGCAATCTCTTTCCAATATCGTTCTTTTCAGTGACAAGTTGGTTGGTTCTTATGTTTGGACTTGAGAAGTAGTTAAGGTGGTGAATTTAAGGCAGTTCATCATTCTTCAGACCAAAATAATTTGAGGAAAAAAGTGAAAAAAAGGAAATCAAATGAGAGAACGGGAAGTAGTAACTGATCTAATATTTGTTACTATGGTGAGTAGGGATTTACAATTAGTTTTCTCACTAGTTTTTGTGTGGGTTTTGTATTTATGAGGGCCAAAATGGGCATAACTCAAAAGTTATTAATTCCTCACTTGTCCTCCCCACCCAGTTGCATATAAATTGCAAAGTGAGCTTCTTGCCAGTGTCCCTAATCCCACCTCATCTGCTCTGACTCGGACACGAAAGGATGTGCAGTCTTTCCTTGTCTCTGATCTTCCCTCTAGGCTTTCTTGCATTTCCCCTTCTTTTCTCGTTGCTGGAACTTTCTCAGGCGCCTGGCCCATGTGTCCCTCCATTGTATCACAAGGCTGCTTTTGTCTGCTACAAGACCATTCTGATCTGGAGAGTTCTCATCATGGCCCAGTAACAAATATTTCTTCATAGACTTGACCTTGGGACACTTGCAGGCAATGTCCTTGGAGCGTATCCAGAGGATCTGGTCACCACGCCGTATTCGATTCGCCCCTTGCTTGTAAACAGAGATGATGTTGACTGTGAACTTCCACCATTCTGCAGCTTTCTCTGCTTTCAGGATGTGGATCTGGACAGCTGGAGACAGAAAGTCAGGAGAAGGTCATTTCTTTAATGCATTTTGCAGTTTCCCTCAAGATCGTCACAGTGAAAAGCAAGATTTGCATGTGTTCACCCATTACACAGAAATGTAACGTAATTAGAGATTTGGTATGCCCCTAATATTTAATTCCTTGTGCTTGGCTAAACGTCACACATTCAGTTCAAAATGAAAAGCGGTGCTTACTTTAGGATGCTTGTACTGAGTCAATAATTCAATCTGGGTTATTGCTTTAAAAACAGAGTAGCTCTTTAATTATTATTTGTGCATTCCTATTTTGAAGAAAGACTATATTAAGATTATATTAAGAGATATTATATAGTCTGGGTATCATCTTTGGCTCCAGTGTTCACACAGCATGTTTAGCCAGGTCATTTACATATTTACAACACATTAAAAATATTTTTACCTGTATGTGGCTTTTTAAAGGCAGGGGTATGCTTAGGTTGTTCAGATGCAGATTGTCTGGCTGACTTGTGGTTCAGTATGATTTTTGCATCCCCCCAAAGGCTTATTTATACTAAACATCTTAGAAGATTTTTTTTTTCTATAAACGATTCAGTATTTCAACCTGGCTGCCCCAAGCAAAGAATATATGAGAATACATAGTCAGTCTTTCCTTCTGTTTCTCATGCTCTAGAAACTTTTCTCCCTACTTTTCCTTTTTGGTGACCTTTGCGATGATGTTACTGCATTCCAAGCCTAACAATGATGGGAATAGTCTCTATGTTTCTTTTGCCCATGAATTTGAGGCTTGCTATGAAATTAAGGGAGAGAAAAAGACAGAGAGAAAAACCAGACTGTTCTGGCCCAATATGATGAAAGTGGCCCTGGTAACAAAAGGTACCACTTTCATTTTCAGCAAAGAGAAGGGGAGGGGAGGGGAGAAACAAAAACTCACCCAAGACGTTGCCACTTCGTGTTGTTTTGGCTTATCACGAGCCAGCTTCTGAAAAGGATCTCGCGGCACTATATTTTCACAGACTAGAAGCCTCATCTAGTAGATTTGATGAGACGAATAGGCTGTCCTATTTTATTTTGGGTAGAAGCTAATTGGAATCTCAGAAATTAAGAAGTGTACGTAGTAAGGAGGAAGAAGAAATGGGATGTGCCAGTGAAATATTAGAAGGAAGAATTAATCAAATAAACTCAGATCTTTAACAGTTATCAAAGATAAAACCAACCAAGCAAGCCTAGAATCCAAAGATTCAATGAAACAGTGAAATATTGTTATCGCTGTATAATGATTTGGTATTGAATTCACATTGAACTACGTTACGTGCAATTGGGAATACTGAAGTCATTGGTAGCACTATATTTTACTACATGGTAAGCTGCACAGGTGGGTGGCAGAAACTTTAATTGATTAATAGCAACATGGGCCTCTTCCATTTTCATCATTCCTTAGTGAGCAACAGTGGCAGAAATATCTTAAAAGTCAAGAGCTCCAGCCAGAGGCTGCAATCATTTGCAAGCATTGTGTGCTTTTAGGAGGACTCTGCTTTGGCTATGTCAAGTAGCAGGCAGAAGGGCTGACACATAAATGCCAGCAGTGCTCTACCCTAAGAAAGTGTCTCATGT